CATCTTGTTTTGGTCATTACACTATAAAGAATATGTTTAAACTTTGGAAAAAGTGCAAAGAAGAGTAGCTACATTGATTAAAGGCCTGAAGACTAAAACATGAAGAACTATTGCACAATTTGGGTTTGGCTAGTCTAGAGAAAAAAAGGATTAGGTGTGACGTGATAGCAGTATTCCAGTACTTGAGAGGCTGCCACAAAGATGAGGAGGTCAATTTATTTTCCAAAGTACTAGAGGGCAGGAGAAGAAATAATGCATGTGAATGAATGTCCATCTGAGTGCAATTCCAAGTGGGGAGAAAGACACTGGAAACATGGAGACTGCTTGGAAGGGTAGTTTAATGGAGTGGAATCATTAAGCACATGGTCCTGTTGCACCTGAACACATGGAGCTGAGAGTGAGATATATTTATACCCTCTCTGTGGCCTTGCAAGAAATGTATTGGTTGTCAAACTCCCGGGGGTCTATGTGGGGGTCCAGCTAACTTTGTAGACTATCTGTCCCAGGCTTGTTTGAATCTTGTTGGGTGATGATGGAAGGAAGAGGTTTGTGTTGTGTTGTTGGTTGTTTCTGACAGGATCTGAGCCTTTTGAGGCCTCCCACAATCTCTTCAGGGTGGCTGTTCTTGAGGGAAGCGAGTTCAAATTCTCCAGAGATTTTTCTCCATATCCACAGAGGGTTCCTGCAGGAAGGAGAGGAAGATGGAGAAAGTGCCACCTCTGGAGACAATGAAGCCTTTGTCAGGCAAGGAACCCTTGAGAGGGGCCTTTACCCCTACTCCCATGACCACCATCTTGCTCTCTCCCTTCCACTCCGTCCTTTCTCCAATCCTGTGGCACTAGATCTAGAAAACCTAGAACTACGCTGCCTTCGGTCCGATCTAAGTATTGTATATAAAATCATACATTGCAGTGTCCTACCTGTCAATGAATACTTCAGCTTCAACATAACAACACAAGAGCACACAATAGATACAAACTCAAGGTTAATTGCACCAAACTTGATTGCAGGAAATACGACGTCAGCAACAGCGTGGTCAATGTCTGGAGTACTCTACCTGACTCTGTGGCTTTTTCCCCAAACCCCAAAAACTTTAACCTTAGACTGCCTACTATTGACCTCACCCCTTTCCTAAGAGGACTGTAGGGGGCGTGCATAAGCGCACCAAAGTGCCTATCCTCCCTGTCCTATTGTTTCTTTTATATATTTTTCTTATATGTATCCATGTTTTCATAACTATGTTTTTACTTATACCTATTATCTTATGAGGAATTGACAAAAATAAATAAAATAAAAACTTTGGCCAAAATCCACCCGAGGGCTTCTTCTCCAAGGACAAGAGAATTCCAGGCGCTTCCCCTTTGGTCCACTGGGCGGCGAACGTGACGGCTGCCTTACCACTGGAGGCGGGCGAAGGAAGTGACGCCACAAACGCTTGCCACTCTAGGGCGCCACACTCGCTCTCCTTAACCCGCGGGACTCCTCAGGCACCGGCGGAGAGGTTTCGGGATACTCTGGCCGGGGGTGATCCAGACGTGCCCCGAGTAAGGTGAGGGGGCCGGTCCCATGCTCCCCAGCCGCCCTCTTTCTGCAGGGGGAAGCGGAAGGAGCGGGGATATAAGGAAGGCGGCGGGGCTCCCTTTTGCCCCGTGTCCGAGGAAGAGCCCAAGTGGAGGCCCAGCAGGAGAGGAGAGAAGCCGGGCGAGGAAGAGACAGGATTCGCACCCGGCTCCCCGAGGGTCCGGTCCTGTCTCTGGAGGGGGAGAGAAGTGGGGCGGCCTCCCCAGCCGCCTCCTTCCCGGCCCTGCTCTGCTCGTGGGGGACCTGCGCTGGGATGAGTCGCTTGGGGCTCAGGGCAGGTTGGGTGAAGGTGGTTCAGGGTCTGAATTCCACTTTCTAATTCTTGGCATTTGTTTTTCTTTCTATCTCAGATACAGAAACTCGAAGCTGTTTGAAACCTTTGCAAGCCAAAAGAAGGAAGAAGGAAGAAGAAGAAGAGGAGAATAACTTGCAGGGATCCGTCCTGCGGCCTCAAAAATGGTCCTGTGAAGGAAAAGGCACCTGGAGATCCACAAGAGTCCTTGGACCCATTTGGAGTTGCTCTGCAGAAGAGAGAAAGGATGGAGACACAACCTTTTGCAAAGGAGGGAAATGGAAAAGGCCCGTCAGCTGTTCAGCCTAGGAGCTGTGGGGAGATCTGGACAAGACCTGGAGAGGAGATCCTGGAAGTGAAAAGCATGCTCCCTTCAGAAATTCAGCCCTGCAATTTAAGGAGCCTCCAATACCAGGAGGCTGAGGGTCCCCGAGGGCTTTGCAGCCGACTCCATGAGTTGTGCAGGCGATGGCTGAGACCTGAAAAATACACCAAAGCTCAGATGCTGGACCTGGTGGTTCTGGAGAAGCTCCTGTTCCTTCTACCCCCAGAGATGGAGGGCTGGGTGAGGGAGTGTGGAGCAGAGACCAGCTCCCAGGCGGTGGCCCTGGCGGAAGGCTTCCTCCTGAATCAAGTGGAGGAGCAGAAGGTGCAGGTCGAGTTGCAGGTGAGACACTTCAGGGAGCTCAGAAGGGAATAGAGAATGTGTTTGAATACTTCGCCCCTCCTTCCCAAATTTCTCTGACTTTCATAATATGTGGTGATGTCCCACCAATTCTTGTAGGACGTTGTTCCATTGTTTTCTCACTCAACGACACAGATGGATATTGGGGGCTTTGAGGTTGTGTTCCAAATATAGGAATCCACTTTATTTTGTGTTATGTACATTAATTCTCTTCTTTTTTCCTTCCTTGTATTGGAAGTGTTGCGCTGTGGAGATCAGAGATCGTGAGGGAAAGAAGAATCCATCAAATCCCCCTCAGGAGTTATTTTTCAGGAAGATCCCTTGGGCAGATCCAAGTCAGGACACCTCAGGAGGTAATTGATGATCCTCCGATTACCCATCTGTCTTATCTTTGCTATCTCTGCTCTTCCATAGAATACCTCTTCCTGTTTTGTTAATTATGCATTTTGAAATTACTTATTCCTTACAGAAATGCAAAGAATGAAGTTTTCTGGTTTTTCTGGTGGACTTCAAAGAGCTGTTGAACCTCCAAATCAAGTAAGAAAGGGAAAACTTATTAGATTTGTATTCTCCCTTCAGGAATTGAAGGAAATGTGCAGAGTGCTGCCTCCTTCTATTTTCCCTCCTTGTTTGGACTGGATTATTTTTGTGTTCCTGAGTGACATAGAAAGCACAATAGTAGGTTCAAGTTGCTCTCAACCAGCATAGCTTTCTCTGTAGAATATTACTGGGATACAATGGTTTGTCATTTCTACCTTCAGATTCTGTTTAGCAAAAGTTTTTTAAGGACCACAGGCTAACTGGTTCTGCTAGGTACTCCAACTATGAGTTTAGAAGAAAATTTTTTTGAAAAGTGGTTCAAGAGAGAGGAATAGTGATAGTAACTGCTAGAGACCCGTTCTTTTTATAATTTTTTGATTTGGAGTTGTGCAAGGCTAATGAAAAATAACTAAAGACTCACATTGCCGAATTACCATTTTTAAAAAGCTTTATTCATTACCAGTAGTTCAAAGAATAAGCAAATCATATTAAAAAAAATAAAGCAGAATGTTAAAATCCAAAGAGAATGGTCACGTAGAGCATGTAATCGTGGTACTTTGGGCTGCAAAATAATTTCCAATACTATGATTTACGCCTGGATTAGGAGATCAAACATTCCTGCTTTGAAAAGCTGAGAAATGACCACTGCAGAGTATTTTCTCCTCTTTGTTTTCTTCCATTCAGCCAATGCTCAGACTATTAGATCAATCAATAATAGACAAATAGTTTAGCTGATTCAGAAGCGGGGATTACTTTATTCAGAATTGTCCATTTTCTCACCTAAAATTAGGACTTGTGTGAAGCACAGCCATTTAACTTAGTGCATATCTTTGATTTGGGGATTTGGGAACAATGGAGCAAAATAACTGAGTTGGTAGGGATCTTGGAGGTCTTCTAGCCCAACCCCCTGCTCAGAAAGGAAGCCCTATAGCATTTCAGCTAAATGGCTGTCCAATTTCTTCTCAAACACCTCCAGTGTTACAGCATCCACAATTTCTGGAGGAAAGTCATTCCACTGATTAATTGTTCTGTCAGGAAATTTCTCTTTGGTTGTAGGTTAGTTCTCTCCTTGATTAGTTTCCATCCAGTGCTTCTTGTCCCGCCTTCAGGTGCTTTGGAGCAGGGGTCCCCAACCACCGGTCCACGGACCGGTAGCGGTCCGTGGAACAAGTCCTACCGGGCCGCTGGCTTGCTGGGCGCCGCCATCTTGTTTTGATGAAAAAGTGCTTCCGGTGAGCTTTCTACCCGGAAAAGCTCACCGGAAGCACTTTTTCATCAAAACAAGATGGCGGCGCCCAGCTGATGTCGGTACCGGGCCGCGCCATAAAAAAGGTTGGTGGATACCAGGCCGCGGCGTAAAAAAGGTTGGGGATCACTGCTTTGGAGAATAGGTTGGCCTTCTCTTCTCTGTGGCAGATCCTTAGATATTGCAACATTGCTATCATGTCATTCCTAGTCCTCCTGTTCATTAAACTAGACATACTCAATTCCAGCAACTGGTCTTTATGTTTTATCCTCCATGATCCTAATCATTTTGGTTGCTCTTCTCTGTACTCTTTCTTAGAGTCTCAAGATCTTTTTTACATCTGGCAATCAAAACTAAATGCAATATTCCAAGTGTGGTCTGACCAAAGCATTATAAAGTGGAACTAACACTTCATGTGATCTTGATTCTATCTCTCTCTTAATGCAGCCTATGATTGTGTTGGGTTTTTTTTTTTGGTAACTGTAGCACACTCCTGACTCTTGTTTAAGTGATTGTCCACTAGGATTCCAAGATCCCTGTTTCACTTCTGTTGAGCCAGGTATCACCTATTCTATGTCTGTGCATTTAGTTTTTCTTTCTTAAATGTAGAGCCTAACATTTCTCAATGTTGTTTTTCATTTTGTTAGATGGCGCCCAATCTGTCAATCCTTCTATAACTTGAGTTTATCTTCTGGAGTGTTGTTATTCCTGTCAATTTGGTCTTGTCTGCAAATTTGATGAGTTCCCCTTTTATCCTCTTGTCTAAATCATTGATGAAGATGAACAGATCTTGCGAATCTTTCAATTCTGTTCTTTTTTCCGTGTTCAGGAGAGTCTTGTGTCCTTTGAGGAGGTGGCTGTGTATTTCTCTGAGGATGAATGGTCTCAGCTGGATCCTGACCAGAAAGCTCTGCATTTGGAAGTCATGCTTGAAAACCATAGGAACGTGGTCTCACTGGGTAAGAGTTTTCTAGTCCCCAATCAGAGAGTTTAAGAAGACAAATTATAGTTAGTTTTTTTTATTTTAAAAAATCACTAATCAGATATTGTCTCTTGGGAGGGGGAAGGAAAGGATCTAGCCTTCTTGTACTCCAAGGAAGGAAAGAATTTACTGCTCTTTGCTTAGATGCTTTCTGTGCCATTTCTTACTGTATTTTTCCATTTCTATTTCAACTGGTCCCTTCCAACTCTGTTACTCAATCCATTCCGTTTTATGGAACTGGAGGCTAAAGAACTGGGTATTTTGATGAAAAGAAAGATTAGGGGTGACATCATAGCAGTGTTCCAATATCCTAGGGGCTGCCACAAAGAAGAGGGAGTTAATCTATTCTCCGAAGCACCTGAAGGTAGGACAATAAGCAAAGGGTGGAAAATAATTAAGGAGAGAAATAACTTAGAACTAAAGAGAAATTTCCTGACAGAACAATTAATCAGTGGAACAACTTGCCTCCAGTTATTTTATTCTACCCTATTCTACTCTACTCTATTCTGTCTTATGCAATCCTCAGTTCGCAAAGAACACAGTGTCAGAGTTCCAAGTAAAAGTCAACAGAATCAAAACCCTGAGGCCACGGAGTTCTTCATAGTAAGAATTTATTAGGCATGCCATATTGACACAGCTGGAGAAAACTCAACGGTCCCAAGGTTTTTCCCACCCAATTCAAAACCCAATGTCCTTTCCCCCAATCCAAATGTCCATCACATGGGGCAATCATGTCACAGTCTCCAGTCCAGTTGTTTTCCGTCCACGCCTCCCTAGCTCCTGGTGAGGACATCCTTGGTTCACAGGGGAAAGAATTTTATTTTGGCTACAAAATAAAATTTTATTTTGGCTATCTCTATTACCCACTCCCGTTCCCACAGCTCTAGTGAGCCTTGCTGTGGCAGCCCGGAAGGCCTAAAGTACTGTAGTGTGAGATCAGTTGCGTGAGATCTTGCACTACTGATCTTGCGTGATCTCGCACTAAAGCAGTTTAGCTTTCTGTTCTGTGCTAACTGAGACCTGTATATTGGCCTTTGCAAGCCAATCAGACTTTGTAGCCTCCCAACCTTTCTTGAGCCTCCCAACCTTTCCAGTGTTGGCACAAAGAGAGTTTACAAGCCAATGGGAGGCTTCAAGCAAAGGATTTCACCCCAAAATCTCATCACGAGGTTCAAGGAACAAGTTGAGTGGGAGTCCCGCCAGCCAGACACAAACCATGGAGCAGCTTCTCCAAGGTATACCAGGGAAGAAGGAACTTGTTTCAAAATTCTTTCAGTTCTCACAGGTCTATACTGAAATTAACACACCCCAATAAATCTTTAACTTTTTCCTAAAGGAATTTCGGAAAAATTGAGAAGAAAATTTGTTGACTTTCTACAGTTTGATCTTTTTCTCTAACCTTGTTATCATTTTCATTTCTCTTTTGCTTTAAAGGTGATAATGGACAGGAGAATCAAGATTCAAGTGAACTGTTCCAAGTGATCAATGCTAAAGGTGGAACTGATAAATTTGGAATTCGAATGGAATTCGAAAGCCATGAGATAAACCAGTCAAATAATTGGAACCAGGAAAGCTCATCTTCCACTGATGCTCCGATGCAAGACTTTCTTGCCCAAGAAGAGAAAATAAGGAAGAAATATATTGGGAAAAGTATGAAGCTAATGAAATCTAAATTACATGTAAACGAACACTATTTAACCCAAAACAAAGGAGAAGATGCTATAAGACACAATAGACAAAATTACAATGGGACATTCATTCATTCTCTTGGAAATAACTCCCTTACATCTCAAAAAGTGATTCACAGAAAAAAGGACCCTTATCAATGTTTGGAATGTGGAAAACATTTTAGAACAAACAGGCAACTTACTTCCCATGAAAGGATTCACACGGGGGAGAAGCTATACAAGTGCAGAGAGTATGGTAACATGTTCAAAAGTGGTAGTAATCTTATTTCTCATAAAAGGATCCAAGCAGGAGATAAACCATATAAATGCATGCAGTGTGGAAAAACCTTTACTCGTAGTAATGGACTTAGAAACCATAAAATGATCCACACAGGAGAGAAACCATATAAATGCATGGAGTGTGGGAAAACCTTTACTCATAGCAATGGACTTAGATACCACAAAATGATCCACACAGGGAAAAAGCCATTTAAATGCATGGAATGTGGAAAGACCTTTGCTCAACGTGGTCATCTTATTTCCCATAAGATGATCCACACAGGGGAGAAACCATTTAAATGCATGCAGTGTGGTAAAACTTTTACTCGTATCTATGAACTTACTATCCACAAAAAGAGACACATGGGAGAGAAACCATATAAATGTATGCAGTGTGGGAAAACCTTTACTCGTAGCAATGAACTTACTATCCACAAAAAGATCCACACAGGAGAGAAACCATATAAATGCATGGAGTGTGGAAAGACCTTTGCTCTGAGCAGTGTGCTTCGAAACCACAAAAAGATCCACAGTGGAGAGAAACCATATAAATGCATGGAGTGTGGAAAGACCTTTGCTCTGGACAGTAGACTTACTATCCACAAAAAGATCCACACCGGGGAAAAGCCGTTTACATGTATGGAGTGTGGAAAAACCTTTGCTCAACGTAGTCATCTTATTTCCCACAATATAACCCACACGGGGGAGAAGGCTTTTAAATGCATGGAGTGTGGAAAAACCTTTGCTCATAGAGGTAAACTTATGTCCCATAAGAACATTCACACAGGGGAGAAGCCATATAAATGCATGGAGTGTGGAAAGACCTTTGCTCAAAGTGGTAATCTTATTTCCCATAAGAACATTCACACAAGGGAGAAGCCATTTAAATGCATAGATTGTGGAAAGACCTTTGCTCAAAGCCGTTATCTGGCTTCCCATAGAAAGATCCACTCGGAAGAGAAACCATTTAAATGCATGGAGTGTGGAAAGACGTTTACTAAGAGGAATGCTCTTACTTCTCATAACAGAATCCATACAGGAGAGAAGCCATATAAATGCATGGAGTGTGGGAAGACCTTTGCTCAGAATGGTAATCTTACTTCTCATAAAAGGATCCACACTCGGGAAAAAGTATATAGCAATAGCAATTCCACTTCAGACTTATCTACCACTCCACAAAGCTTTATAGCAGTCTTTGAGCAATTTACAAAGTCAGCATATTGTCCCCAGAAATCTAGGTCCTCGTTTTACCGACCTGGCAAAGATTAAAGGCTGAATCAACCATGAGCCGGTCAGGACCGAA